GCTCGCGGCTTCAACGCACGCACGTACACGTAGCAGGTACGCACGATGGTACGCACACGTGCTTATCATCGAAGAAGCACCGACACGGTGGTCACCAACGTCACCGTGGCCAGGATGACCGACACACACAACGTGAGAATGAAAGACGTACGGAGAGGGAGAGGAAAAGTGAGGTTAGACAGAGAGACAGAGAGAGAGAGAGAAAGAGAGAGAGAGAGAGAGAGAGATGTATAGAGAGATAGAAAGAGAGGTAGGGAGATAGAAATCCAGAGTGGAGCGTACGAACCACACGGGTAGCTCTCCGGTGTGTACGAAGAGAACGAGAGAGGGACCCGGCTAACCGCTTCCTTTTTCCGCGCGCGCACAAACACACTACGAACACCGTTGCTTCGTACCGTGAGACCAATCACTCTTTCTCTCTTTAGCACGTTGCACCGCCTACCGGCGTTTTACTGTTGCTGCTGCCAGGCCGGCGCTAGTACAATCGTTGGAAAAGCACGCGGCGGCACTGCACGAACCACGAGATGTGTATAATATATATATATATATATATATATGTATATGTATATGTATGTATGTATATACCAGCGGCGGAGTGACAGAGAGAAAAAAAACTCACTAGAACGAGGCAGGTTGCGCGGCTCGACGCTCTGTCTGTTCGTGATAGCGTCGCGTACACGAGACACGCGCGACAGCATCCATCATACGTGGAAACGGTGACAACCGGGGAGACCTTGTGACCGCGGAACACGAAACGTCAAAACGCCGGCCGGAATCGCGACCCGTTGTCTGTTCGATTCATTCGGCTCTCTCGGTTAATCTCCAACAACCCCGTCACCGGCTTTGTTCCTCTCCTCCTTCGTTTCGTTCTCTCCGTTTCACTCGCTCTCCGGGGCCCGGTTATACTTTCAAACGCTCGTTTAAATCTCCCCGCTGCGTTTCGTACCGCTGGCTCCGTATCCGGTCCGGTCAACGCGCAGAGAAACTGCTGCCTTCACTTCCACCTCGCGTCCGTCCCCTTCCGCGAGACTCTCGTGTACCACCGTATACACACTCTCCGGCGGAGGAACACACGCGGCTTCGGGCCGTCAACTACCGGCTTTTTTCCCGCGACACTTCCATACGCGGCGTCGCGTCACCGTTTCGATCGGCGCCGGTCACTGCGATCCAGACAGAGGTATACGCGTCGCTGGGGATCGAGCACGATCAAACACCTACGAGATATTTAACACTCCGCAGGGAGCGACGATATCCCCCGACCGTTAATGCGTACAGACTCTTCCGCGCGAGCGCCGAAGAGTGACTGACGTTCCCTTACCATAACTGTACGCGAGGAGGCCCGAACGCCGCCGAGGAGGACCGAGCGCGCGCTCGCTGCCGGCGACGCGATACCGCGGCCGGCGGCCGCTTCGCATCGTGGCAGCACTGATCGGTGGCGTCGCGACGCCGTTTTCCCCCCAAGCTTTCCGCGAACGATCCTCTCGCCGAGGGTGCCATTCTCTCCTTTTCGCGTATCCTTCCGCGAAATCGGCAGAGGTACGTGTGTCCTGCGAACCTTTCTCGGGACGCTCTTGCGCTCGGCTATGTTGATCCTTAACGGCCGTAAGTCACCTTTGACGCGACAACAGTACTTTGTCCCTGCAAATAATATACATCGAAAGCTTATCGATAGTTCGACACTCGGACGTTTCTAAGACTGCTTTATCAAATGAATCGTTTGTAATAGAAATGTTGTTACTGAATATTTTTCATATGTTTGAAGAAAAGTATAACTTAGTGAGAATCGTGTATACGTCCGATAAGGGTTAACTCTCGTGTCAGGGATGAACAGATTTTGGTATCTCGTTGTAGGGAAATTGGAATAGCACCTTCGTTTTATTGTTTAAGTTATATATTCAACGATAACTTTCTTTGCATAGATTTTCTCAAGTAATCGCGAATGAAATAGAGTATACGAAGGCACAGTTTGGTAGACGTGATATTGTTTATTACAGAAAAGATGCTTCGTTCTTGTCAAGTTAAATTGAAGTTAGTTAGCGTAGTCGAACGTTCGATTCGAGCAGACACGTGAAAGATTGTTACGCTCGCGTGTGCCTGCATAGGTAAACACTCGATACCGCAATCGGTTCGGGAACCGTGTGCTCGCCATAACTCGTCGGTTCCGTTCAAGCGTTGACCGCGGAGCGCGACGTCGAGCAAAGAATTATTTGCAAATGAATAATCGGGCCGTGAGTCAGCCTGTGTAGCGTGTCCGCGGGGAGAGCAAGGAGATGAACGCGTTGTGTCGCCGTAACGTGATTCATGGATTCTGCATGTTCGTTAAAAGCTGTTTGGTAGACGCTGGTACAGCGCTCGGGAATGCCAGATTAGATACGTAAGCGGCATTTATGGCGAATGGAATTAGAAGACCGGCTCCACTTATCAAGACTGTACCTCGTTTCCGTTCGAGCTATCGTTGTCCGGCTATCGCGCTCGGTGCCACGGGGAAAGTCGACCGCCGGATTCGAAGCGGTTGACTCCTTTATTTCTCGCTCTGCTCCGCTTTCCGCCGGCTGAGAAACGTTTTCTCGACCCTTGAACCGAAATACCCGCTACCTGCGCACGGTGTGTTGCAGCCGTACGGGAATAAGATCGGACGTTAACGTGGCAAGAGAAATATCGGCAAGATAAGTGGGAGCAAAGTGCCTCTCGGCGCGCATCAATATCGGTCGATTGTGAAAAGTAATCGTCTTGACTTTCAAATATCGCTAATACGCTCCTGATGAATTTCCAATGTTGCGTTCCGGCACCTGACCTCCGGTAACCTCTCAACTTTGATTCCCCAGCTTCCCGGGGGTACGTTCGGTTCTCTCAGTGGGTTAAGATGCTCCGGCACCATAAATATGGCGGTTGCTGTTGGATCCAAGCCCAGCCCTCGAAAGCTTTCTTGTACCGAGATACATAGGATCGTCGATTTTCGCCGTTAGCCGAGGGGGGAGCGAACCCGACAGAACGTTTGTTAGTCTGGAAAATAGTTGTACGGCGAATACATCCGTATGAAACGAGCACTCCGCCGTTCTCGCCCTCGTTAATCCATTCTTCTTCCTCCCTCCCAGCCGACCCCCCGTGGCCGCTCGTGGTCCACCTATTTTCGTGCGTTTGTATGGGGTGGAGAGAGAGGATGCACAGGCGAAATTTCATCGCGATACGATGCGCGCACCCATGTTGATGAATTTAACGTTTTCGTTCGACAGCCGCATTTCCTTCCCTCCGCCCCCCCAGCCGCCGCTCTTTCCGCTCTCTTGGCACGGATACACCGGAATACGAAGAAAACATAACCGTATCGCGTACAGAAGATCTCCGGTGCACTCCCGGCCGTCGACTATTTCCGATAATATCTTACACGGATTCTCTCTTGTAACAACTGTTAACCCCTTTAGCGTCGTTTTGTCAGCGCCCGTATATAGCAGCGTTCGCTCGTTACGAGTATTTTCGGTCAACGGGTCCCGGGCTGCCGCTGCCCGGAAGGTCATCCTCAAGTACAATGACCCGATCGTTAACCCTCTTTCGACCGTCTGCTGTCACCAGGGTGCAATATCCGAGGATGTCCTGAAATTCTGTATCCTCGTCCGCTCCGTTATCTTCGTGACGGCCGGCGAAAAAGTTAAACGACGCGCTCGGTCCTTCATTCGATCCATTCGCGTAGCGCTCGGACGATATTTCGAAGCGAATTATTCGAAAGCGTTCTCGTCGCTATACGACGTCCAAAGGAATTCTAGATATTCTTGATTAATTGAAATTTTAATAACCAAACTTGCAGCAACGACCGTGGAAACTGCGCCTCTCGCTTCGATCCCCGTGCGAACAGTCTGATTTACATTAGACGATAATTCACGAAACAAGCTGCGGGCATTCTTTCTATTAATCTTATCTCCATTTCGTAAGAATTATCTGTTCCGTCATACATCTATCGAACAGAACCATTCATAATGGCGCGTTTAAAACGTGTTTCTCTAATTGCTTCCACGAGAGCGGACCGCGGACGCAAAACAGCACCGTACAAAACACATTTATCAATCGCGCCTGATAACCGCAAGATTAATTCACGGTACAATCTCCGCGGAATCTTTACAGAATGCAATTATACCTGAATTTCGTCTCGCATATTCCCGTGTATCCGCGCGCGCGCGCGCTCGCCAAGGTGAGCCGTGATCGTCGCGACGGCAACATTCGATGTACATATACACGTGTACGCCGCGTTCGCATCGTTCGCTCACGATTTTCACGATCGTGCACCGACAGCTCAAGAAACCACCGTAAGAGTGACGTAACGGCGAGTTGCATAATGCTGCGGCAAATCTGCAATACGCGCGTCTCGTAGTTGCAACTATTCGTGTCAACAGTTATTCTTCGAACGACCCTCGCCGGGCAGGCGATGCCAGTGCCTCGCATCCTTGAGGCAAGGAATTTATGGGACGAGGACGATGCCACGGGTGCTACTTAAACGTTAACGATCTCTTTCGGTCTGATAGCGTCGCGTCGCGACGCGGCGAGTTCATCGGACAATAAAGGACTCGCTCGACACAGGACGTCTCGAATCAGCCGATTCGATCGACGGTTTCGGTTCGCGCACACGCAGCTGCCACGGTAAATCACGACGTGCAACGAAT